TGGGGATGGGGCAAAAACAATCAAACCTAGGCAGAGATAGATCTGAACAAACTTGCTGAATGGTGTTCAGATCCAGACCTAACCTTTGTGCCTTGAGCAGATTCCTAATATTACCAGGAATAGTTTTAACTGGAACAATTTAGAAATAAAAACTTAATACCCTGTTGCATTTTCAGTCAGTTGTGTTAGTTCATGGAATGCAGCTGGAACATACCTGAACCTCACCAGTCTCTTCATTTCCAAGGTAACTGAGAAGGAAACTCCTTTTCCAAGTACAGAGATGAAAGGAATAGCAGAGTTCTAAGCCATTTTATGATTTTTATGTGGCACTTTCTCAGTTACCATTGGAAGGAGCTAGTGGATTTTTCAATCTTAACTTCAGCCTGGCAGTGTCATTCCAGCTCCTTTTCCTGTTCTGCACTCATTAATTAAGTACCTAACCCCTAATTGGACAAATGTTGGTCTGTGCTATGATCTGGTTGTAATCAGTGGTGTCTTCATAGCAGTAATGCAGCAGAATATTGTAATGGATTTCAGGTTGCAGCCTTGGCAGGCTTTTGGAATTCCTTACTTCATTTTTACATATCCTGCTGTTGGAGTTTTGCCTGAAAAGGAGGAAGTACAAACCTTATCCCAGGATTTGTTCCATGTGCTGAGCTGACCTCTGTGAGGCACCTTCCTCTGAGCTGAGGCAAAGTCTTACTTAGATAAAAGGAGGCTGGCTCATGACTCCCTTTGAGCCAGCACCACCTAAACCCAGCTCAACTCCCACAACCTCAGATTATTTCTCTCCTTACCTGCAACATTCCCTGCTGCAAACTGGGAGCAGGAATTTCCCAGCTGTCCAACTCCATTACTCAAGAAGGATATTTAAAATGTCTCCCTCTGTGTGCCCACCGAGAAGGTGATGGCCCAGGCCCCTGGAAGGAGCAGCAGGGACAGAGAGAAATCCTTTGTTGCCTTCTGCTAAACCTGCTCTTGAACTCGTGGTTTGGGGACAAGCAAATGCCAGCATGCAGGAATCACGCTGCTCCTGAATGAGGCTTCCTGCTGGGACTGTGCTGGATGAAAGCAGCCCCAAACCCCTGCTGCACCACAGCAGGTGCTTTATGAAATGAACTTTGATCCCTCCAAATCCTGTCATTATCCTGACAGAGCAGTGACATGTGTATTGTTAGGGAGGAGGTGGTGTGGGAAGGGAAGGTGCTTTCCAAAAATACTCCCTGATAAAGGAGGCTGAGCAAATGGAGCTCCCAGATAAAGCCCCCGCTCCTGGGTTTGGGGTTTGCCTCTCGCAGTGGGAGCACTCAGGATGTTTGGATGCTCTGGATTTCACTGAACTTGGCTGTTTTCTCAGCACTTGAGGTCTCCAGTCTCAGTGAAGGGGGTTTCAGGTCACTCCTGTGCAGAGAAGGAGGGAGAGAAAACCTGACCTTATCCAACAAAAATGTTTTGACAGCGTTCAGCTTTGCGGAAACATGGGAAGGGTTTTGTTTGTTTTCCAGTGTGCAACAAAAAGACTTTTAAAAACCTCAAAACTTGTGACAAAATGGAATATTCACCCGCAGCCCATGGTATGGCTTTGAACTCAGACATGGTTCTGGAGAAACAGCAGTGCTCAAACCCCACAGTTTCTCCCCATTTTGAAACCTCTTGTCTTCCCTTGACCTCAAGCAAGACTTCAGAGGCTCAGCTGTTAAAGACTGAGGAAAACCAGCTTCAGCCTGACATAAAATCTGTCAAACACTGCCTGTTCATTAAGTGGAAGGAGGGACAGAGGGGAGATGAGGAGCCCAAGGAGGACTCGTAAAAAGTGGCCTCAGAATAGGGAGCGTGGATGTTGCTGCTGCTGGTGCCAGGATTGCAGAAGGAGGTTAAACCAGTTCAGTGACAATTCCTGCATGGATGGGGTGGATTGAGCACTCCAAGTCACTGCTGATCTTGAGCAGGAAGGACTCAGGTGTTACTGAGGGGGCTGAAGCCATGGGTGCCGTGCTGGATGTGCAGGGAGGAGGCTGCAGAGCCCTCACCCTGCAGGATCAGATTTTACAGGGTAGGGAGAGAAAACCCAGCTGTGGCTGCAGAATTGTGGCAGTTTGGGCTGTTTCTGGTCTCCTGCCTGAGCAGCCACCCCTGTTCTGCGGGTGTAGCAGGGAGTGAGTGTGTTGTTTTGGGCCAGGCAGGGCACTGCAGTTTTGGGGTAGTGCTGTGAGGTTTGGCAGAAGAAATCCTACAGGATTCTGCAAACAGCACGGCCTGTGTGCAGCTGGGGAGTGCATCCAGGGGATCTCCCCAGAACTTCTGGGATTCAACAGGAGGGATGATTTCTTCCAGCAGATTGGTCAGTGCTTTCCAGGCATAGGTGATCCATCCTGCATTTGGCTGCAGGACCCAGAGGTGAAGGTTTTATCAGGAGAGATATTTCATTAAGTCAAGTGAGACTGTAATCAGCTCTTCAAAGGCAGCTTCCCCTCACTGATACTCCATCACTCTTAAAAACCATCTCTTTCCCATCAGTTTTTGGCAGCTCCAAAACATTTTGGGCAGCTTCCTGTGCTGCCAAAGGATGCTGCTGCCTGTAGGAGGGAAAAAATCCGGGGAGATCTACAAGAGGGAAGAAATCAGTACCCTATCATGGGGTCCACACACCCCTCAGCTGCTCCAGACCACAGATGTTGATACAAGAAACCAGGTTGCAGATACATCTCTGGAAGCAGCATTGGCCCAGATTCCTCCTGGCTGTTTGCTGGATGGTCTTTCCCTCATTCTGTTGCATGGATATGGACACTTAATTATTTTAAGTGATTATTTTTTAACAGCTGGCTGGTAGCAGAGGGAAGGCCACAGATTTACCAGTGAGGCTCTACTTGTAATTATGGTTCACAGGGGATGAGGGAGTTTGGCAGAACCTGGCTCCTGCCCTTATAGCTCAGACTGGCATTTTGGGCAGCTGGGGCTTGCAGGATTAAGCTCAGTTTATCAGTACATTATCTGAGGTCCCTTGGGAATTGTGCCATCCAGTGTCAGTGCTTGTGCCTGGAAACCTGGCCAGTGATGGTCCTGCAGCTCCTGGAGAGACAGAGCTGGGAGGAGGAGCTGGCAGAGACCAGGAGCTGTGGGGTTCACATCCCTTCCAGGTCTGGCAAGGCTGGAGCTGGGGCAGATCTGTGCCAGGGCTGCCCCTGCTTCACTCAGGAGCAGGGGCACAATTTCCCCAGGGTCTGAGGTGGGAGGTGAATCAGGGTCCTGCTGCTGTCTGTTCCTCTCTGCTCCTGCCTCCTCTTTCACTTTCCTGGCTTTGCTGCTGTTTAGGCTGGGCTTTCCCTCCCCTAATCCTGTCTAACCTGTTGGAGTTTAACTCTGGGATCCATCTGGAGACCCCAGAGTGACGCAGGGATACCCAGCACAAACCCTTCCCTCCAGCCACGCCAGAGCTGAGCTTTTTGGGAGCACTTGGTGAGGCAAATGCACTTCACCCCCAGGAACTGCACTGCCCAAAGCCTGGCTCTGCTCTGCCCAGTGCCAGCCAGAGGCCAGACACGCTTATCACTGAGCCAGATGGTTCCTGTTCCCAGGACTGTAAATTTGGGGAGGGGGAGAGCAAATAAATAAACCTCTCACCAATTTGCCTTTGAATGGAAAGTAAAACACTGCGGGACATCCCTCCCCCTGCTCCTCCCGTGTGCGTAAAACCAACTGGAAACGCTCCCTGGTGCTGGGAAAAGTAAGGCCCTTCTGTTTTGATTTTGGTAGATAATCTTGTGCCGTGGAGGTCAGCCAGGCAAGGCGAAGAGGTCATGAGGAGAAGCAAAACATCCACGCTTAGGACAGCTGCTGGGAGGTGCTTTGGAAAAGCCAGGAGTTTCGAAGAACAGATCTGTGAGTCCCCAAGATGAGAAAAAAAATATAAATTAAGGTGGGCCACACTTTTTCCTCTGTGTAAATGAACACCTGGCCCTTTTAGCCCCTGTTTTAATTTGTGTCTGGGTGGGGTGTCAATGTACTGTATGCACATGGCTCTATTTAACAAACTCTATGTTAGAACCACAGTGTAAATGCTAATTTAATCAGATTTGTATGTAACCAGAATTTTATATACCCATTTGTCCCTTTTCTAATTTATGCTGTTTCATGTGTATAAATGTACTTATAGGAAGAGATATTAAACTTATGTCTTTGTACAGTATATACAGACTACTTTAACCCAGGCAAAGTATTTTTGCAGTGATATTAGAGAAGATGCCATTTGCTATGCTGAAAGACAGAATAAAGTCACAGTCTGTCCCTGGCAGCTCCTGCTGTACTTTTTGGGGCCCTAAATCAGCCTGGATTAAGTTTGGGCAGGGGTTTTGGGGGCTGGGGCGAGGGCAGCACACCTGGTGAGTCCACACAAGTCCTCCTATGGCTAAAGAAAGATCTGGGTGTGTAAATCAGAATCCAGAATGGTTTCAGAACACCCTCACTCAGCTGCTGAGAAATCCCAGTGGTTTCTCAGGTTTCAGTTGCACCTTCATTTCTGCCTGTGCAGCTCCCCAGGCCTTTGGCCCCACAGGAGCTGTTTCACTCCATCTGTGCCTGCACTGGGCTGGGCAGGAGCAGCTCCTCTGCCTGGAGCCCTGATCTGCTGGGAAAGCGCAGGGCAGGGACCTCTCCCTGACCTCCCCAAACCCCACCTCTCCCTTTCCTGCAGAGATGGTGGGGAGCAGCCCCAGGTCTCTCCCTGCCACCTTCAGGGAACAGCCTTTCCCAAACCCTTGGATGTCACAGCAGCAGGCAGCTGGTGGGGCAGGTGCTGCATTCCCAGAGCACTCCCCTGCTGCCAGCCAGGAGTTTTCTCTCTGCAGCCACCAAACTTCCAGGGTCTCTGCACCAGATAGCCCAGAGGCTGTGAGCCCCATCCTCCCCTGCCTTGTGCTCCCACAGCTGCTCCTGTAAAGTTTCTTTTTAGAGGAAAACCAAGCCAATTTCCCAGAGGAGTCCTCTCCCAAAGCCAGCTCTCACAGAAGTTAGTTTTAATCCAAGAGCTGTCTATTTTCCAGATAAAGAGCCCCACAAAAAGCCTTCCACATGCCCAGGGTCCAAAGGGGACCCTCTGTGTGCTCCCCCAGACCCATACCCAACTCGCCTCCCTCCTCCCAGCGTGGAGCAAAGGGAACCACAGCCTCCATCCCTCTCCATGGCCACCTCCAGCCTGGAGTCCACAGACACCACAATTGGGAAAGGAGCAGCCTGAGCAATTATTGCTTAAAGACAAAGCCGTGGTGTTCTCTCTTCCACGTGGGGATCCTGCATGGCTCCGTGAGCCCCGTGGCACCGGCAGCCCACGAGCTGCACGTTGCAGCAGGGAATTGCAGCTGGATCCTGGGAATAATCTGCAACCGAGACATTGTCTGCTGCAATGTCCTGCAGAGCTTGGGCATAAGCCCTGCTGATGGCAGGCAGCACTGCCTGGTACTCCCTGGATGCCACATCCAGAGGCTCCTGCTCCTGGAGGTCACGGTCCAGGTTGAAAATGAGGGGTGGTTGGTGCCACTCCGCCGGCCCCATGCTGCCATCACAGGCCATGGCCCCTCCTAGGGAGGAAATGGGAGAGAAACCCTGGAGTCACAGAGGTCCAGGGGTCACCTCTGTATTCCTCACCCACCCAGGATGGCCCATTCCCATCCCAGCTCTTGTTCCAAGAGGTTGCTGAGACCCGCCCCAGGCTGCAGCACCATCCTGCACACACAGCTCGGCACATCCTCGGGTCTGCTCTTGGTTGAATTAACCTGAGTTGGTTTTCTCCTGCATCTGCAGAGATCTAAGAATTCCAGAAGTCTCTTCTTAGACTTCACAACCTCTGGTAGGGACACAGTACCTGTGGTGTAAAACGCCTTGTACTGAGCCAGCCGCAGCGCCTCGATCCCGCCGACCTTCCCGGCTGCGCCGCTGTTGGGGTGCAGCAGAACCTGCAGGAAGGACAGAATAATTCCTGTCATCCCATGGCAGGGAAAACCTGCTCCATGAAATCCACTCCCTCCCCAGATGATCCCACCCCTGAACACATTCACAGATGGCATTCAGGCCCTGGACTCAGAGCAGCCAGCAGAGCTGTGATTGCTGAAGGGTGGGGAGGTGGCAGAAGGGCCCCAGGAAACACCAACAACTCCCTTGGCCTTTCCTGGCCCTGCAGGAGCCTCTGAATTTATCTCCCAGTTCTGTGGCAAGAAAGGGATCACAAAGGCTCTGGGGCTTTCAACAGATTATCATAAAATCACAGAATGGTTTGGGTTGGACCAGGGACCTCAAAGACCATCCAGTCCAAGCCCCTGCCATGGGCAGGGACATTTTCCACTGTCCCAGGTTGCTCCAAGCCCCATCCAACCTGGCCTTGGACACTGCCAGGGATGGGGCAGCCACAGCTTCTTGGGATAACCTGTGCCAGGGCCTCCCCACCCTTAAAATTAAGAATTTCTTCCTAACATCCACTCTAAATCTCCCATCTTTTACTCTAACACCATTCCCCCTTGTCCTATCACTAGATGCCCGTGTAATATTTGGGAGCCAGGGTGGTCTCAGGTGCTCTGAGCACCTCCCTGGGTGTTCACAGCTCAGCCAGCAGTGGGGACATCCAAGGGAGCTGAGCCCCAGGCTGGAGCCCCAGCCAGCCACGAGCTGAGGGTGAGCTCATGCGAGGCACAGGGGAAGGTGAGGTGCTGGAACATCCCTCCCACATCCCTCCCGTCCGTGTGACTCACCCCGCTGTGCAGGGCTCCCCTCCCTGACAACAGCCAGGGAACGGGGTGAGCAGCAGGGGAAGGAGGGAAGGGTGGGCCGAATCTCTCCCTTTTGGTATTTAGGACACTTGATCCACACAGGATGGCTGCTCTGGCACTGGGGAGTGAGGAGACAAGTGAGCTGGACACTCCAGCGGCTCCTCTCTCCGATAACATCTGCCGCGGAGCCAGTGCCTTCACTGAGGGATGAGTCACTTGAGGTTTCCTCCCTGGGATTTGAGTTTAAAAGTGATTCAAGAAATTTCCACTGTGCTAAAAATTAGAAACATCTGCTGGAGTTTGTAGGCAGCTGCAGTGCCAAGTTTAGTAACAGCACTCACAGCTGATGAGTGCAGCAGTGCCTGAGCAGGTGCCCGGCACGGAGCCCTGCCCCTCAGGGAACATTCCAGGCACCCTGGGCACCCCGAGATGTCCATCCCACACTGCCTGGCAGAGAATTCCAGGGATCCCAGGCAGCCAGAGGTGTCCATCCCATGCTGCCTGGTCTGGATGTAGCCACTGTCTCATGGGACTGGTTGGAACCTCATCCAAGAAATGCCAGAATTCAGGGTAGGGACTGATTTCCAAATGTTCTCACTTTCTGTTATTGCCCTCCATTGTAAGATAATTTGTTTAAAAATCACATTTGGAATTTGGTTGGATCTTTATGTTTTTGGGGAAAAATAGGAAAGGTGTAAAGTGGAAGAGGTGGTGCAGTGTGAGCCTGGTGCAAGGAAAAAGCTCTGCTGCAGAGTCCCCTTCTGCTGACACTCCTTGGGCAGGATCAAAGAGCTCCAAAGCAGGAATCAGCAAATATTCAAGGCCTGTGAAGCCAAGGGACCAGGAACTGAACCAATTCATCTGTCTCCAGCCTTAAAGCTTTGCTTACACCTTTAACAGCACAGCTGGGATGCTGCCAAGGGCACTCAAACTTCCCTTCCTACCAACAACCATGTTCCTAAACCTCTTAAAACCCCACACTTAGAAAATCTGTTATAATTTACTGCATAATTAAGGAGTTTGTTTTGATTCAAGAAACTTTCCCAGATCTGGAACTCTTCCATTAATCCATGGCTATTATTTTAATACATAAAAAATAGAGAAGGCAGGGGGGGGAAAAGCCTTTTCTCCCCTGAAAATTCATTGCTTGAACTTGGTGCTCCAGGCTATTCACATTCAGCTGATGCACAGAGGGATTTACTGCTCCTGGTACCCTTGGTGCTCCTTGGTGGGTGTGATTTATTTTTCCTGCCAGCAGCCCTCGCTCTCAGCAGGACCTCGGTGTCACCCCAACCTGTGCCAGTGCCAAGCAGGGACACTGGGACAGTGTCACCAGGCAGCTCACACTGGGAGCTGCAGCGACCCCAATTAGGGAAGTGTGGAAATTGGGCAGTGGAGTGAGTGAGGGAGCTGCTTTCAGGAGGATTTGTGTCCAGGGAAAGCCTGCACGGGGGTCACTATCGGCCGCTGGCAGGCGGGGGGTGACAGGCGGGGAGCCAGGAGGGGAGGGAGCGGGGACAGGGCTGCTCCCATCACCCCAGGGGCTGGGGGTCCCCTCCGAGGTCACCCCATCCCATGGCAGTGCCATCCCAAGTCTTGGGGGAATTCCACACAGGAATGGCTGCACCCTGACACCCAGCAAACCATCGCTCCCAGCAAACCATCATTCCCAAAAAAACATTGCTCCCAGAGAAACTTCATTCCCAAGAAACCACTGCTGCCTGCAAACCAGCATTCCCAGCAAACCATTGCTCCCAGAAAACCAGCATTCCCAGCAAACCATTGCTCCCAGAAAACCAGCATTCCCAGAAAACCATTGCTCCCAGAAAACCATCATTCCCAAAAAAACCTTTGCTCCCAGGGAAATCTCATTCCCAGCAAACCATCAGTGCCCTGCTCCCAGCACTGCCCGTGCCGAGCAGGGTTAATCCCGAGGAGCAGAGTGGAGTGTGCTGGCCACATCCCATCCCCTTCCCTGCTCCATCTCCCAGTTCAGCAGAGGGTTCCATAAATACAAAGCAAATACCAAACCCCTGATGGACACGGAAAGCCAATCCAAGATCCCGCTGGGAGCTGGCTCGTGGTGCTTGCAGGAGGGTGTACTTTAAAAGCAAAATCAGGATTTATCCATGGGACAGCTATTAAAGACACTTTTCCTTTTTTTTTTTTTATTGGTTCTGCAAAAATCTCGTGCAACTCTGAGACAAACATGTCTGCTTGTCCTGAAAACTGTGGGTTTTGGGGTGAAAGATGCTGCCAGCTTGGACAGAGCTCGGGATGTGGGGTGGGCTGTCCTGATGGAACCCTGGAGCTGGGAGAAGGAGGGGTTTGTTATGTCTCCATCTGGTGAGATAAATAAATTGGTATAACCAGGTTTGAACCCCTGGGAGCTTCCCTTCCCCACACTGATGCACCTTTTAGGATCAGAAAGATGCTGGGCACTGCAGGCTGCCACACCCTTGGCTGGTGTCCCTGGGATCACAGACACAGCTCTGAGGCACACAGGAAGGTGCCAAGCTGCAGGAACGGGCATTTCCACCTCTAATCCCAGATTTGCGAACAGAGCACAAAACAATCTTCATTAACCCAGAACCCTTTTACCCTGATATCCCAAACCCAGCCTGGTACAGCACCCAGCCATCTCCAGCTGTCCTCCTCTTCCAGGCTGGCACTCCCATGGATCTGCACATCCCCAGGCTGAGCCAGTACCAGTTTTAGCCCAGTTTTAGCCCAGTTTTAGCCCAGTTTTAGCTGTGGCACCGGGGGTGGCCCTGCCTTACCTTGTGCCCCACATCCAACCAGCCAAAGAGAGCTGGGGACACGTCCAAGCCATCGAAGCGCCTGCTCGGGGGCAGCGCTGCCCCAGCCAGGGCCACCAGCGTGGGGAAGATGTCCAGGATGCTGGGGAAAGAGGGGACAGTCATCAGAGCAAGGAGTGAGGATCCCTGGAGGGTCTCCCCAGCCTCACCTGAACCCCACATCCCTCACAGGAGAGCTCCTGGCAGCTGAAAAGGAAAACCTCATTCCCAGAAAATCACTGATCCTAGAAAACCATTCCCAGCAAACCATTGCTCCTAGAACCATTGCTCCCAGAAAACCAGCATTCCCAGCAAATCACTGCTCCCAGGGAAACTTCATTCCCAGTAAACCTTTACTCCTAGAAAACCATTGTTCCCAGCAAACAATTGCTCCCAGAAAACAGGAAAAAATTGAACCCAGCTCTGGGAAGCCCCGATTTCACACCCCTCCTGCCCCCAGGCAGCTGCTGGGATTCAGTCAGGGCTTGGCTGGGGCAAGGAGATTGGTTCAGGAGGCAAAAGCACCAGGAATTGGGGTCACCAGGGTGCTGCCACCGTGGCCTTGTCACCACGGTTCTGCCATCAGCGTGATCCTGGTGTGTCCTGCCCCTGCTGTCTCCTGCCCAGAGCGCGATGGGAGCTGCGTGAGCAGAGAGAGGAAAGCCCTGGGCTTAACAGCCCCCAGTTCTCCCACTGAACGAGTTTTAATTTAGCTGCTAAGAGACAGAGAGAACAAATAAGAACAAACACTGCTGCGAGCCCCGGCTGGCGCTCACCGAGACGGCCCCCATGGCCAGGCCGGCCGGGAGGCGCCCAAAAAAATCCTGGCTCTGCACTGCAATCCCTGCAGGCACCTTGCTGGGGGCAGAGCAGGTCCCCCAAAGCAGCAGCTCACCTGCCCCTGGCCCCACGGGTGCCCAGCTCCCAACTCAGGGCATTGGCCCATGGATGGGACCTCTGGAGGGGAACACCGGGCTGGGAGAACAACATGATCGAGGGCAGAGCTGGTTGAAGATTTCCCCAGCCATGGCAAGGTGTAACCCATGGGAAAAGGCATTAAAAACAGGATTTTTGCTCGAAGATGGTATCAAAGGCCCTACCAGCAGGCACATCCTGGGAGCCGTGCCTGAGGGAAGGGGAAAGCCACACTGCCAACCCCTGCCCTGGCCAAGACAGATTGAACACATAAAGCCACTCCAGCATCCTGCTGCTGCCTGAACACCAGGGAAAAGGGCCTGGCAGTGCCCAGGGACAGCAGCTCCCTGCCCGTGGGACAGTGGGTATCCCTTCCCCTGGCACTGCCCGGCCATGGTGCTGAGCACCCCAGAGCTCTGTGCTCTGGCAGGCTGCAGGCAGCTGCAGCAGCTCTCCCCACACCCCACAGCTCAACCAACCTGCCCAGCCCCACGCTGCCAGGATGGTGCAATCTCCTCCTTCACCACCCTGCTGACCTACTTCTTCCATGCCCTACTTCGGGTTGGGGCAGGGAAGGGCAGAAGCACAGTGGGTGGTTCTGACAATTAAACATAATTAAGAACAGCAGACAAGGCAGTTTTGTGCAGAGCCCAGCGTGCAGGTGCTGGTCTGTGGTGAGGCATCAGCGTTCCTGTGCCAGCTCCAGCTCCCTGGGCACGCTCACCCTCGCTCATCCCTGCCCAGGACACGGAGCCACGAGGTCCTGAGCAGTTCCAGCAGCCTCTGTGCCCCAGCTAGGCATTTCCACAACCCCAGGGGCAGAGGAGATTCGTGCAGGTGGAAAAGGCTTTCCCCTGCCCAGCCTGACTCTTCCTGGGGATGCCACTGTGCTGAGGTTCTCTGGAAGTGAACACACACTCATCTCCTGCACACACACTCATCTCCTGTACACACACTGATCTCCTGCACACACACTGATCTCCTGCACACACACTGATCTCCTGCACACACACTCATCTCCTGTACACACACTGATCTGCACACACACTCATCTCCTGTACACACACTGATCTCCTGTACACACACTGATCTGCACACACACTCATCTCCTGTACACACACTGATCTGCACACACACTGATCTCCTGTACACACACTCATCTCCTGTACACACACTGATCTCCTGCACACACACTCATCTCCTGCACACACACTCATGTTCTGCACACACACTGATCTCCTGCACACACACTGATCTCCTGCACTCATATTTCATTCCTCCCCAACAGCTGGGGGGATTTCAATGTCCCTGCTGCACATGCTCATCTCTGGGGGCTGTCCCCAAGGGTGACAGAGGCACAGAGAACAGCCACCTGTCCTGTGAGCACCTCCACCTCCCTCTGTGTCCCTCCACGTCCCCTGTCCCACCTCAGGCCACGGCTGGGCCCACAGTGGTGACACTCCTGAGGTGATGCCCCCAGGCTGGCTCTGTGCTGCCTCCCAAGGAGGGGGTGATGCCAGAGCAGGACCCTGCCCAGCTGGGCACGGCCCCATGGCACTGCCAGGCTCTGCTGCAGGGGACACCAGCTGCACTGCCACTCCTGGGCAGCTACAGAGACACTTTGGGAGCACCTGCAGTGCTGCACGAGCCTCTGCTGGATTTCCAGATTTCCAGCTGTCCAACCTGTCAGACTGGAGCTGGGAAATGCAGGAGATAAGGTCTCTGAGGAGATAATGAGAATTCCTGGGCTTGGAGGCAGGGACAGGGGGGTGGGATGGTGACCCTGAAATGCAGGGGCTGGCAGCTCTGCCCCATGGCCCGAGGAGGACAAGGATTTGGAGGTGAAACCATGGGGGGCTACGGGCTCCCCATCCCCTCCACCAGACACCAGTGACTCAGCTTATGGCTCAAACCTTCCCTTGCCTGCAGAACTCCAGCTCCCAGAGCTGCCCTGGGGCCCTGGAATGAGTGAGTGTCTCCAGCTTAGCTCAGGACCTGAGGAACACCCAGCACTGCCCCAGGGCCCACCAGTCAGGACCTGCTTCCAGCAGCTGGGACATTCTTTCCCAACACTCAGCCCCACCCCAGACCCCCACCCTGTGTGCTTCAAGGATGAAAGGGGACAGGACATCCCAATGCCCAGGAACCCCAAACCCCAGCAGCCTGACCCCCAGCACCGTGGGGATCCCCCAGGGATGAACAGGGACCCCAAACCCCAGCAGCCTGACCCCCAGCACCGTGGGGATCCCCCAGGGATGAACAGGGACATTCCCCCCACACTGCCCCAGGCTCTGCCCCACATCTGCTGCCAAGGAGGGCTGCAAGGAGAGGTGCAGGTCCCACATGAAGGGCTCTAATGCTGCAGCGAGAGGGGCAGCCCGGGCCCTCCCTGTGCCCTCCCCAGCGAGCAGAGGTGTGGGGAGCAGCCCTCGCCCTCGCTGCCGCCGGATCCCGGCCCGGCCGCATCCTGCAGGGATTGCCAGCGCCATCTCTCCCCACAACCGCACCCTCCCCCACATAAAGCCTTCCACCGACCACAAAGCCTGAGCCTGCTCCTTGGTGGGGAGAGAGAACATCGTCATCTTTTAATTATCGGGAGGCCCTTGGCCACGGCGGCCGGGAGCACGCGGAGCCCGGTGGCTGCGAGCGCCAGCCCTCCAGCCTCACAAAAAGCCCTTTCAGCTCCTCTCAGCTGAAGCACTAAGTCTTGGGAGAGGACAAAAGTGCAGCCTGGCACAGGGCAGGGAATAACCAGCGCAGGCGGCTGCTGTTGCCAGTATCCAGGTGATGAGCTGGGTCCCCGAGGGCTCTCACCTGAGCAGAGCGTGGCTCGTCCTCCCGGCAGGGACACGGCCGGGCCAGTACACCAGGGCTGGCACCCTGTGCCCTCCTTCCCAGGTCGTTTGCTTGGCTGAGCTCCCACCTGCAGGAGAACAGGGCAGCGCTCAGCATCTGCTGCTGCTGGAAAACCTCCTGAGCCCGGAGTTTCCCTGGGAAAGGAGCTGCTCAGAGGCAGAGATGGTGTAAATTACCCCGAAGGAGGATGGTTCCACCGGGCCAGGGAAGGGAGAAGAACTACGGGTGTTTTTCAAAGGGAAAGGGAAAAGAAAGTGGTCTCAGCTGGGCACTGGTCTGTGTTTCTCTGCTCCAGTGAGTGATGAGAAATGCAGCAGCTGCCAGAGCCACTGCGTTTCCATCCACTTCTGATGCCAGGTGAGAGAATGGAGCAGGCAGGAAATGCAGGAATTTATTCCAGGGGCTTCTGTCCTCTGCAGGGCCCAGCACCAACAGCTCCCCCTCCCCCTCAACCTGCTGGAAACCTGCCTCATTAAAAATACCATCCTGCTAATAACCCTGCTGCCAGTTAATGAACCTGATCCATCCTTTCCCTGACAGCAAGCCTGCTCTGCCCTTGGACTGGAGATGCACAGGGAAGCTGCCCAGTCCCTCCAGCTCCTGGAGCGCTGAGCACTGGGGCTGGGGTGCTGAGCACCAAAATCGGGGTGTTGAGCCCCAAAATGGGATCACCACGCATCCAAAGGGCTGGAAGGGCTCTGGAGAGCCTCTGCCTTGGCTGCAGCCCAGAGGGCCCCAGGCAGCTGGAGGGGGAAGGGGCTGGGAATGGGGCAAAGAGAAAATCCCAACCCGATTCACCGAGCAAACTTCCCAGGAGCTGCCTTTGTGCGCTGCCTTTCAGTGTGCACATGGCAACGGCACTCGCCCCGAGCCATTTCCTCGGGGCACAGCCAAGAGAGTCCCTGCAGCATCCCCAGCCCGGCCCGGCCTCTCCAGAGCCACCGCCCCACACCTCGGGCTGATCCAGCCCCAAACAGCGCTGCCGTGCCCGCAAGGACACGGACGGCACAAGGAATAGCCCAGGGAAAAGGTTTCTGACCCTGGCACGGACCGAGCACATCCCCAGTCTCTCCCACAGTTTTGGTGTTTCCCCCCTGCCCTCAGACACCCCAGGAAATCCCAGCAATTACAGCGATTAATATCAATCCCCATCTCTGCACATATATTAAAACACTCATCCTCCTGGATGCATTTCCAGGGTTTTTCCATGCATGGTCAGGGGTCTCTGGAAGGACATCAGAGGGATATTTCCTGACCAAGCCACCCCAGCAGCTCTGGCTGCTCAGGTCAGAGCAGCCTGGGAATGAGGTCACATTAACACTTTGGGAAGTAAACAGGGCTGAAACACCCAAACCCAACCAGGGAATTTTCTCCAGACTGGGGATGATGCAGCCCTGCTGCTGTGGGGACTTTCCAGGCTTTCCAGGAAAGCTGAACTGTGCATTCCCATGGTGGGATGAAAACCTTGGTCCCACCACACGCACAGCAGGTCCTCAGCACAGGGACACCAGGTCTGGAATTTCCCCTCAAAACATGCCCAGCATCACATCCCCAAAATGTTTCTCTCTCTCCCAGTATCCCCCGCCTTGCTGGACTCTTGACCCCGAGGTGGGAGATGAGTTTTTGGGGTGGGCTGGGGGCTGTGGGAGGCACAGGGAAGGGGCAGCACACACGGATATGCTGCTCTCTCCCAACGCCACCTGAAATCAGTGGAAACATCCCTGGGGCTTAGGGTTGGACCCTAAAACAAAAGATGGAGCTGCAGGAGACATGTTAGAAACATACAGAAACTTGTTAGAAACATATAGAAATATAAATAAACATATAGAAACTTGTTAGAAACATACAGTAATATATATAAACATATAGAAACATGTTGGAAACATATAGAAACATATAAAAACATGTTAGAAACATGTAGAAACTTATAGAAACATATAGGAACATATAGAAACATATAGGAATGTATAGGAATGTAGAGGCATATATAGGAATGTATAGGGACATATATAAACATGTAGAAACTTATAGAAACATGTAGGAACATATATAAACATGCAGAAACATAGAAACATGTAGGAACATATATGAACATGTAGAAATGTATAGAAACATATAGGAACATATAGAGACATACAGGAACATGTAGAAGCTTATAGGAACATATAGGGACATATATGAACATGTAGAAACTTATAGGAACATATAGGGACATATATGAACATGTAGAAACTTATAGGAACATATAGGGACATATATGAACATGTAGAAACTTATAGGAACATATAGGGACATATATGAACATGTAGAAACTTATAGGAACATATAGGGACATATATGAACATGTAGAAACTTATAGGAACATATAGGGACATATATGAACATGTAGAAACTTATAGGAACATATAGGACCATGGAGGAACGTATAGGAACATGTAGAAACATATGGAAACATATGGAAACGAGCAGGGCTGGGAGCAGTGTGTCTTTCCCCGCTCCTCGGGGCTGTTCCCTGGCAGGGAGCGATGCCCCCGGGCTGGGAGGGCCGAGCATCCCAGCCCCGGGCAGTGCCAGCCCAGCCGGCAGCGTTGCTTTCCAAACATCCGTGCGGCCACCAGCCGAGGGATTTCCGAAGTCAGCCCCGCCGGCAGCGTTCCCAGGCAGCTCGGAGCGCTCTGCCAGCCCGGGCTCCCCCCGGGCTCCACCGCAGGCGGGCTCCGGCTGTTCCGCAGGGCAGAGAGCGGCTGGAAAGGGGCCGTGTTTTGCTCGCCCTGTTCCCGAACGCCGCAGTTTCTGTACCAGCTGCTCGGGCTTGTGACCCTGGGTTGCTCAAGAGCAACAACCCGGGGCCGTCGGCGGGGTTTGTTTACTAGAAAATTAAGGTTACGATTCCATCCCGGGGCCGGGAGAAGGAAGGGTTCAGGGAATGGGACGGAGGCAGCGCAGTTTGCCCAGGGAAGTGTCGGGAAGAGGAGAAGGAAGCCCCCCACTGCTGACCCCGGGCTGGGGGAGCCGAGCCTGGCACCTTAACACCGCGTAATACAAGCAGAAGTGGGAAACGCCTGACTCATGAATGTTTCTGGCTGCCCCGGCCGAAATAAACCCACCAAACAGATGGCTTGGCCGGAAAAGGAGGAGTGAAAAAAAACCAAAAAATAAACAAAAAATAAAAACCCCAAATGAAAACCCTCCAGAAAAAAAACAAAAAACAAAACAAAACAAAACCAAAAACGGTGGAGAGAGAAGAAAAAGCGAAGTCCCAGTGTGCGGGGAGGGTGGTGGGTGGGATGGGGCTGGGGGCTGTGAGACCCTGATGGGGCAGATAACAACATCCCACCTCCAAAGCAGCACACTCACCCCGAGCTCCGGGATAATGAGGACCCCAGCCCACCCCCCGCAGCAGTTTTGGAGGAAACTTGACTGTTTGAAAGAAAAAACCAGCGCTGGGGTGTGCTCAAGCCCAGGGCACTGCCCCAGCTGAGCAGCCTCCCGAAGGAGGATGGCAGGGAAGGTGGAATGCTGCCCGTGTCCCCTCCATGGGCACTGAAGGGCTTTGTGGAGCAGCCCCCGCTGTGCCCCCGGGCACACGCTGCCAGGTTACCTCGCTGCCTCTGCCAGGCACCCACGAACGGCCCCAGGCGTCCCGCCAGCTCACACTTCTGAGCCCAGGGGCCATTGTCACCTGCAAGGGAAAGAAATGTCCCCATGAGAGACAGCAGGACGGCAGGGGACACCTCCAGGGTGGGGGGGTCGGCAAGGACAAGTGACCCTTCCATCCCTCTTTGCCACCCCTGCGGTGCCGCCCCACACGAGCGAGAGCAGCCGGTGGATGGATTTTGGTTTTTAGCAGTTTGTTTGCAGGGTCTGGAGCGCAGCCAGGGCAGGGCAGGGGGGGCACGGTGCCACCAGCTTTGGGTGTTAATGAGCGGCCGAGCGGTTCCTGTCATCAGGAGCAAGACATCCTCATTAGGGAGGCTGCTCAGCGACAGAGAGCGGATTTGGGCTTCTTAACGAACGAGGATTTGCGGTTTAATTAGTCACGGCCCCACCACTTCAGCCCCGCAGCCGGAGGGGGTGGCAGGGTGGGCACCCAGCTGAGTGGCCACAGCAGCCTGGGACCCCCGTGCCCACGCTGGGACCACTCCCCATCCTCAGAGCGCCGGGACCATCGAGGGAGGGGACATCGAGGGCAGGGGACAAACACAGGTCCTGCCCCCCCTCCCAGGGTCACCCCCAGCCCGTTTTCCTGCTGTACCTGTGAACCACAGGAGTGTGCTGCCCTTCCCGAGGCTGTCAGCGACCTCCTTTATCCGTCCCACCAGCGCATCCATCTCGCTCAGGGAGGCTCCGTAGATGCTCCTGCCCGGAGCGGGGGGCAGCGGGGGGGTCAGCGGGACGTGCATGTGGGCCAGGGCCAGGTAGAGGAAGAAGGGACGGCCGCTGTCACTGCACAGGGGACAGAGGGAGAGCGCTCAGCCTCCAGGGCAAGGCGGTGGCAGGAGGTCCTTGGGGTGGTGGCACTGCTGAGCCTGGGGACACAAACCCGTGGTCCTTCCACCCCTGCCTCTGCCGCAGCTCCCTGGGGGAAAAGCACCCCACGTGCATCACCCACACCCTCCAGGCACTCCTCTCCTTACAGCGAGGAAGCTTGGCTGAGCTGAGCCACCTCTCCCCACTGTCCCCCCGTTGTCAACCGTGCCCCATTTGGGATGGATTTGCCCCATCCTCCATCTCCAGTGGCCAAACACCCCACGCTGCTGCCCCCAGGCACTTCCCTCCCCTCTCACAAGGAGCCCATTTGGCCCCTTGTCCCCTCCCCAGCAAGTGCCCTGCTCGCTGGGGCTGTGGGCAGAGGATGGGGCACATCTGGCCACCCACAGCACACCAGGCACTGGTGGCAGTGCCACCCGGCCCCGCACAGGGAGCGCGGCACGTTCGCTGCCCCGCCGTCTGCTCGCTCCTAAATCATCCCGGGACACGTCCTGTTTGCTTGTTTACAGCTATATTTATCTGCTCCAACCAGGCCTGCTCTTCCTCAGGGAGCTCGGAGGGGAAGGGTGGGATGGCCAGCGGTGGGGAGGGGCCGGATCCCGGGGACGTGTCCCGGCCAGCACACGCGCCTGGCTCCGGCCGCCCCATCGCTGCCTCCTGGAAGCTCTCCGGCCCTTCCAACGCGAGTTTCGGCACTTCCTTCCTCTGCCCGTCACCCACCTGGGGTGGAAAATGAGTAAACCCCGTCCTGCCCGGAGCTGCTTCATCCCCCTGAGAAGGGCTGTGTCCCCCGGCACCCTGCCCATCCCTGCGGGGTGTGAGGGGGTAGGAGAGCTCGTGTGCCCCTTGCAAACGGCCACTGTGAGACCTCTTCCCATGGGATGGCAGAGCCCCTGGAGCAGGGAAAGCTGCTTCCCCTGGGAGCACCACTCCAGAGGGAGCCGTGGCTGTGATGCTCAGCTGAGCATCCCTCCCATCTGCCACACGGACAGCTCAGAATTGTCCTGAAGATCGAGCAAACCTTTAATCAATAACTGGAGACAGGAGTCCCTGACTTTTGCTCCCACACTCGCTTGTGCTCGAGCAGTGTCATGTCTCACTGTCACAAATTGCTGAACCTTGACTGGTAAAAAAAACACTGAGATGGCAAATCCGGTGTTCTTTTGTTGCCCTGTAATGAATGAGTCAGGCAGGGGAAAACTGGAATAAGCCATCAAAGAGGAGGGGAAAAAAAGCAGGCACCTGCTTAATCCTGTTCTCCATGAACACAGATAACCCCAAAACACTTCTGGGAGTTTAAAGGTTTTTCCTATTGACCCGGAGCTTACACACTTGGTTTCACAGCCACAGACCGTCCTGGTAGCCTGGGGCTCTGGCAGGAGAAGGGGCTTCTGCTGTCCCACAGCCCAGAGCCTGGGCACCCTCAGCATCCTTGGCACCCAAAGGGATTAACTACAGATCTTGTGCAACAAAACATCTCCCAGGTTTACAAAGAGCCATTTCCCCATGTGCTGCTCCCTGCCCAGCCCTTCATTCACCTCTGTTTCATAAACCTTCCCCCAGGGAGCCGCCTTCCCCGGGCCCGGTTATCCCGGGGTGCAGGCAGGGGATGGGCTCAGACAGGGCTGCCCGGCAGCGTTTCCTCTCCTCACTCTGCAGGGAGGCGTTTTGCAAAGTCACAGCTCGTAATCCGCCAATAATGGGGATTAAAATTGCACAAGCCGTCAGCAGAGCTCGGGGGCGTCATTCGGACGAACCACTTCGCTCCTCGGGGACAAACACAGCCGGGCACCTCCTGTGCCGTGGGGCTGGGGGAGGCACATCCTGAATCCCAGAGATCTTTATCCTCAAAATGGATCGAATCTCACACGCGGGGCGTGTTCAAACACCTCTGGGTGCTCTTCTGGTCCCACCCTGAGCACCATTCAGCGCCTGTTTACAGCCCCTGCCAGCACTTCACGCCCACGGAGGCAACTCAGCACCCCATTGCCACCTCATCCACAGGGATGGGGAAGGACAGACCGATGGCAGCGTTTGTTTCCTTCCCATCCTCACCAGCCTTGACATCACGCACATTCCCCCCAGGGAGGAGGCACAGCCACACTCAAAGGCTTTGCCTTTGCTCAAAAATGGTTTTAGAAACACACGACCCCTTTGGAAAACACCAGAAGAGTCTCAGTGCCTCCTCCAGCAGGAAGCCAAGCCACGGACACCCCAAATCTGAACCACGGGGCATCACCCATCTCCCCTGGCATTGCACCAGCACGATGCAAAGGAGCCCTGCAGTGACCCAGGAGCTCTCCTAGCTAAGGGGACAGACAGGGGACAGGGGGTGGCCTGACCTGGCCCTCTGGATGAACCGCACCGCCTCCTCCGTGTAGCGCCTGGCCAGGCTGCCCAGCTCCACGGGCTGCTGCACGATGGTGATGTTCTCGAAGAGAGGCAGGGCAACCTCTGTGTAGCAGTCCTTCCTCGCCACCCTGCTGGGAAGAGCCACCCCGGGCTTGTCACCGGCGCAGGCAGCGAGCCTGGATGTTCTCGTGGCTTCCAGAAAGCCGAGGAAGGGAGAACAGAGGGAGCAGTGCCCGTGTCCCCATGGCATGGGGTGCTCCCAGCCCACACCCCGCAGGGGAAACACAGAGCGTGAGGGGAGGTGGCCACAGCCAAGGGCACCCCCAGGGCTGGGGACAGTGCTGCAAACACCCCGTGCCCCGTACCTGGCGGCGGTGCCGTGCCGCACGCAGGGCGGGCAGGGCGGCAGGTTGTAGCCAGGGCTGTCGGTGCAGCCCATGTCGTGGCTGTAGGGGATCCCAAAGTAGTAGTCGAAGCCTGAGAGGCAAGCGAGGGAGTCAGCGGGGTCAAGGTGGCCACAGGGCCCGCAGCCTGTCCCCGCTGGCACCGCCCTTACCGCGGGAGTTGGGGTGATGGCGGCCGTGGTGCCCCAGGTGCCACTTGCCTGCGTGGAAGCCACAGAACATCATTTCAGAGGTGACAGAGCTCTGGCCACCAGCAGCCCTCACCCACGAGGTGCCCGCAGCGCTGGGGGCTTTAATCAAGCTACAAGAAAGGCTCCTTGTTTGTGCTGGCTGCGATTCCAGAATGCCGTCTATTTTTGCAGAAAATGCAGAAAAAACGCATAAGGTATCTCGTGCCTGTGCAAAGCGACTGCTTCCAGCCTTAAAAGGCTCTTTCATGTGCTTGTGCTCTGAGCAGACGGCTTCCCAACCCCTCCCTAACAGCCAGCTTCATCCTCTGACCTCCAGCACGCGCTTGCTCCCACCGAACGCGCCGATCCAGGAGGGAGAACTGCAAAAACTGGGGAGGGATGGGAAAACGGAGGGGTTTTCTGCCAGCACGACGTGCACAACAGCAGGAGCTGCAGGTGTAAAGGGCTTGTGCAGGCTGAGGGGGACCCAGCAGTGACAGGAGGGTGCCCAAAGCCCCGGGGCAGCGGCACTGCCCGTGGTGTGGGCTGCAGGATGGCGGGGCCGCCGAGCACAGCCCTGTTTGCCAAGGAACACCCAGCACATTCCCTGAGAGGTAAAGCAATGAGAGATTAAATGGAGAAGTCTGGATTTCCGGCAGCACCGTTGAGAAGGAAGAATTTAAGCTTGGCATCGCAAAGTCCAAGGGGGATGTGTGAAATCTCTCTCACACATGATCCTTTAGATTTTCCTTTCACTGCCAGCGTTTCACCAGAGCTCCTCCTCTGCAAGGGAACCTTTGTCACCCCCCGCCGCTCCCCCGGCTGCCCCTGGCACTCTGGGCATTACCTATAGCCCCGGTGCTGTAGCCAGCCTCCCGCAGGACCTCGGCCAGGGTGGTCTCATTGAGGGGGAGGCCCCCGAGTGAGCTGATGGCGAAGTTGTGGGTGACCCCGTTGCGCACCCCCAGGCGCCCCGTGAGCAGCGAGGCGCGGGACGGGGAGCACGTGGATGCAGCGGAGTGGAAATCCACGAACCTGCAGAATGAAAGGAGCCTTCAACTCACGAGACCCTGTGCGCTCTAACACTGCCCCTCCCTGCCCCCTGTGCTCTGGGGATGAGGGCGGGCAGTGGGAGATGCAGGTTCCAGCGGGGACAGATGGACCTGCACCCCAAGGTCCCAGGCTTTGGCTGCCCTCCCCATGCACCCAAACCCACACCAAGGAAATCCCTTCACCTGCCAGTCCCTCAGGGCTGAATTCCCCTGTGCTGCAGGACAGAGTGTCCGGGATGCTGGGTGAGGGCAGGGAAGGGGGTCAGACATTACCTTGTTCCTTCGGCAGCCAACTGATCCAAATGCGGGGTCTCCTTCGTCTTCGCCCAGTTGGCTCCCAGATCCCCCCAGCCCACATCATCAGCCAGGATGACGATGAAGTTGGGCTGCCTGCTCACCACACAGGGAGCCCAGAGTCCCACCAGAGCCAGGGTGAGCGCCAGCACCGCCCATGGGGATGGGGATGGGGTCCCCATGGCACCACACGTCCCCTCCTGCCCGCGTTGCAGCACCGGCGGTGTTCCCCAAACTCCCCCTGCTGTGTTCCTGCGGATGCAGCTGAGCTTTCCACGGGCTCTGTCCCTTCCTCAGCTGGTCCCGTGGGGCCGGACGGGGGCTGGGGTCTGGGTTTGCTCCCTTGGCTGCCGACCGAGCTGCGACACCTCCTCCGTCTTTCACACCCAGGCACAGCCGATATTCCCGAAATCGGCGCCAGCAAAGGTGTTATTCTTAGAAGTCAAAAAACACCCTTTGAAGTCACTGTCACTCTATTTATATCTTTCCTTCCTTCCTGGTAAATATCTAATTAGACACCAAACCAAAGCGGTATTTTCCCCTCCAGGAGCGGGTTCGATCCGCCGCCGCGGCAGCTCCTCTCCCCTCACCGCAGCCAGAGGGAAATTTGTGTCCAAAAACGGCTCCTTCCCTGCAGGCTGAGCCCCTCAGCCTTTGGGTGGAGAAGAAACTGCTGGGGCTCTGTCAGTCCATCCTTACAGCATCCCCTGTGCAAGGGAAACAAAACAGTCAGGAGGTGGGGAGTGCCTCTGCACCCCAGCCCAGGGCAAAACACCTTCTCCAGACACTGGGGCAAAACAAACACCTTCTCCAGACACTTTCCCTTTGAAGTTGTTCTGCTGCCTGGTTGACAATGGCTCACCTGGAAAGGACTGGGAACACGGAGTGTCCCTGTCCTGCACCCACTGCTCAGGCTGGGGTGGTTTCCCATCTCCTGCCATCCCGGGCTCCCTCCTGCTTGCCAAGGGCTTTCTCCCGAGTGCTGCAGGGGGCACAGCTCCACGAGGGGGACATACAGGGCCCTGCCTTCGTTTATGACAACTGACAAGCGTCTGAAGCTCATTGTCTAAATTTAGTTCTGCTCCCTCTGCCCCACCGCTGCCAGAGCAGGGAGCACAGCCCGGCTGCCAGAGGGAGCTGCCCCAGAGGTCAGGAGACAGCAATCCATACAAACCCAGAGGGCAAAAAACCCCAGGAATACCCAGGATTAAGCACATCCAGCAGTTTAGGGCAGGATTTGGCCTCCAGAGATGGAAAGGTTCAAGGACAAACCCTCCAAAGAGCGGTGGCAAAGACAGAGCTGTGGCAGAGCTCCACGGAGCAGATGGAGCTGTGGAATACGATGTCTTGAATACAAAGTTATGGCCAAAGGGGGATGAAGCTGCAGATCTGCCAAAATCCCTCTGGGTCCTGCACCAGGAGCTCTGCACTGGCTGTGGGGATCTGAGGCTGGGTTGGGGATGGCCAGGACCCAGCTGTCCCCAGCTGTCCCCAGCTGGAACCAGCAACCCTGGAACGTGGCATGAGGGATGCAGCTCCCAAGGGATGGTCAACACAGGACAACATCCATTAAGACAGAGAGGGAGAGTAGAGAAGGCAATGCTGGGAAACAAAAGGGAAGAACAGGACAGGAGCAGGCAGGAGAGGGAATACGATGAGCCCCATCTGTAGGCCAAGCAGTTTGTAGCTTGCAAAGTAAATTATTCCCAGCTTTTGCTGTTCACATCTTTAAAAGCTTTGGGCTGTCACTTGGATCAGCAGCTCCTGGGCTGTCAGCAGAGCATTGCAGTGATCAGAGATGTGGCTCCATTCATAATTCATAGCCCAGAGTGTTAATTTATAACGCCTGGAGGCTCTCGGTACATCAGCTAATGGGGGTGGGATGTGCTGGGTGGGGGGCTCAGCTGTGGGAGAGGCTGCTCAACCCTGCCCCAACAAAGCCCACCAGAGCTCAGGTCCTGTCCTGCACCCTCCTGCATCCCCACAGCTCCAACAATCAAGATCAGGTCTCTAGACATGTTTGATGGCAGCCAAGTTGTCTTTACTTTCAAAACAAAAATTCCTTTGCAATTTCCTTGGATTTCTTCATGGTTGGGGACTTTAAAGGAGCAGCTCTGCTTGAGTCCAACACCCCCTGCTCAGAGGTGAGCCCAGCTGGGCCAAGGACAGTACAGAACTGAGTCACGAAATTCACAGTGCTCAGGGAGACCTCAGCCCATCCCATCTCCATCCCAGCCTCATCCCAGCCCCATCCCAGCCTCATCCCAGCCCCATCCCAGCCTCATCCCAGCCCCATCCCAGGCCCCTGTCTGTGACTCTCCACAATGGAACAGGATATCACACCCTGCTAGAATTGGGGTTTGGGGGAAAATAAGGCACCAAAGTTGAGCTGAGCTCCTCAGGCAGGTGGTGTTCAGGCTCCCTGGGGACACACAGCACCTAATCCTGCCCCCGGGCACCTCCGCTGGCATCCAGCAGCTCCCGGCCCCTCACAGGCTGTGTGGTCTCTGTGCCAAATCCCAGCTCTCCAAACATCCTCCCAGCAGCACCATCCCAGACCCAGTCCCGCTCCTGAGGGCTCCCACAGAGCACCCCAGGGCCCCCCAGCTGCACCTGCAGCCACAGGGAAAAACCCAGCACACCTCAAAGCAGCCGAACCCACAAACCTCTGTCCCTTCCATTTACTTCGGGGAGGGGTGCCAGGATGACACAGCTAACAAAAACAATCCAAACAATTTTCAAAGGACACTCTCTCCTCCCTAAATTACAGGGAAAGTCTTCCAGGGCTCCAATTCATGCATTAGCATCAGACAAAACCTTGATCCCTGATGCTCAGAGGCTGTTTGAAGGCGAGGCAGAACACGGCCTGTGGATGTTCCACATCCAGACCACATCCATGAGTGTGAGGCCATCCCTTGGCATCAGCTTCTCTGCACTCTGAGCCCTCTCTGACCCTTTTCAGCTCAAATTCCCGGGTGAGTCCGGGCTGTGCACATTCCCCTGGGAGGTGGGAGCCTCCTTGGGATAAATCCCAGCCCCTGCTCACCCTGCACCAGGACCTGCAGCACCTCTGTTCCCCTCCAGCTTTGCTGCAGCCAGACCCACCCAGAGCTGAGCAACTTTCAGCTATTTTTGCACAAATCAAAATGACCCAGGAGAGATTCCCCAGGCTGCCTATGGCAGGAACATTGCGGCACCTCGCCTTGTGCCGAGCAGGAAATGCTGCACAGGTGGCTGCAGCTGCATCAGCTGCCTGGGAGGAATCACTCCCAGCATCCAGGGCCTTGGCAGCGTGCTCCTCCGCTGGACACGGCACACCTGGGCGTCACAGCACGCACCTTGCACCGGGGAGGACTGAACAAATAAATAACCTGTCTTTTGCAAGCCAGGCAAGGCGGCTCACAGGAACCTGGAGAAGTCCAAACCAGATAAACCAGTTCAGAAAAGCCCCAAAGCCTCTCCAAGCGGGACACCCCCGAGCTGGCCCCGCTGTCGAGGAGGGGAGATGCCTCTCTGGGATGTCACTGCTGGCAGTGCCACTACAGAGGGGTCACCCACACAGTGCTGGAAGAATCTGTCATGTATTTATCACACATCGACCAGAAAGTTTACAAATCTTGGGGCCAGCATGATCATTTTCACATTTTTCACATTCTTTCCCATTTCACGCCTGCCTGGAGAGCAAAGCAGTGGCTGGAGCCCAGAAAAACCTGCTGCCCTTTGAAGCACACCCAGCTGCACCGAGCTACCCCCCGCCAGCTCCCGGGGCTCACAACCCTCCCGGGGTGTCCCAGCTCTGATCTGGGACAAAAAACCCAAACCCACCCAGTGCCCTGCTGGAAGTCCCACCAGGATCCTCGTCCTGGCCAGGAGGAGAGGGGAGAAAAGGGCACAGCAAAGGATAAAAATTCAAACCGGAGTGGTTACCTGCTGTGCCGCTCCAGGAGCTCCCAGTGTCACCCCTTGTGCCAGCTGGGGTCAGGGAAACTGAGGCAGGCAAGCAGAAGTGAGGCTCTTGGTGCTGACCCCGCTGAGGGATGTCCAGCCACAGCCTGGAGGGGATGGAAGGCAGGGCAGACGGGCTTTCAGAGGGCAGAAAAGTACATCTGTGTTTTGTTTGCAATTTAAAATTGCAGGGATTTTGATTTGAACAGGCACCTGGTGAGGGGTGTGCCCGTGGGGCAGAGGGGCAGGAGCTCTGTGTGTGCCCCCTCGTGCCTCCCCAGAGCTGACATGTTTACCAGCAAAGCTCCATTCCCAGCACAACCGTCCTGACAATGCTCTGAACACAGTCAGGACTTTATTCCAGGAAAAGGTTTTCTACTGGAATAGTTTATACTAGTTCCCCTCACAGAATAAGCAGCACCGACAAAAACATACTTCTGCAGATTTACCAGGATTTCTGCCAGCTCCTGGGACAGGAGAATGTTTTTCACCCATCTCACTGCTGGGTCTTTCAGAGAAAACATTTCACATGCCGAGCAGGGCTGGGCAAACCCCAGCAGAATAAATGAACTGGAAGTCGCTGAGCCATCCGGCGGCTCGGCGCAGGGGCCCGCGCTCCCCTGCTCTTCCCAGCCCGCCCTGTTTTCCAGCTCCTGCCTGATTTATGCCCACAGACATGACTTGCTCTGCTCCCCTGTGGATTACAGAGCCCTCAAACACCAGCCATGCTCCCGGGCTGCTGGAGTTCCCGGGATGATGAGGAGGCACGTCCCGGAGCAAGCGCTGCCAGGCACGGGACGGACCCGCAAGGGATGTGCCAGGGAAAAGGATCCCAGTGAGGCACAGCCAAGCCAAGCAGCAGGGAAATCTCCCCAAAGTGGGCAAACAATATGGAGAAAAAAGGGTTTTACAGTGGGGCTGGGAAGCTCTGGGTTGGAGAGGCTGCAGGCACCATCCCTGTTCCCCCCACAGGGCCCCTGCTGCCCCCATCGCTCCCCAAAGCCTCAATGCTCTTGGAAAGCCCAAAGGAAAGGAATGGGAAGGTGAGGCAGAGACAGATGCAAAGTACTGACAAGAAATACCAAAGAGCAAATTTTTTGGGTTTTTTTTTTCATGCCAAAGATATTTGCATTCTTATTTCTCCCCTGGAGGCACAAACCTCTTTTGTTGTCCCACAACCACTTGCCCTGTTGCTACCAGGAAGAATTTCAGCACGGGGAGGGTGACCCATTCCCAAGGAAAATCTCATATAACGGGATATTGGCTCTGCAAGGCCAGAGGGGCGGTCACCCTTTATCTGCACCCCTGAAAGGGAGGCAGGGATAAAGGACAGCCACCTCAAAGGTTCTCTCAGAGAAAGGCTTTTCCTGTGGGACAGGGAGAGGCTCTCAAGGACACTCTGGGTGCGCTCCCATGGCTGACTTTGGATGGATTTCAGAAGGATTTCATCTTGTTCAGGAGGGGACTGTGAGGAGTGAAGCTGCTGAAACCTCCCTGAGAGCACCAGCACTTGTTGGAGGCAGCGGCTGTTGGGCCAGCATTGCCAAGAGAAACCAGCAGCAGCTTTCCCAAAATCCCTGAGCAAAAGCAACAATTTGCCTCATTTTGGGGAATCTTGAGAATTTTTCCCCAACTACCTGCTGCCTTTGGCTGTGTTGTGCCACTAGCAATCCCCCAGGGGCAAAGGAAGGGAAAAGCAGCAGAAGGGACTCTGGCCAAACCAAACACAGCAGCCCTTGCAGTGAAGGAACATTTTAACCTGGCTGCTTTTTCCAGGGGTATGAACCAGGATCAGCAGGTTCCACATTAACCCAGCACACTGTGGGTCGGCACAGGGGGCAGATCCCAGGAGGGCAGGTGAGGAGAGGTGTGCTCACCTACCCACTCTGACCCCTCTGCTGTTCCCTGCAGGCAGAAGTCACTGGCCCAAAAGTCACAGGGAATGGTGCAAGACTCCAAATCCTCCTGGCAGCATCCATCCGTGCCCAGCACACGGAGAACAGGAGCAGGATGTGGCAGCAGCAGTGAGCTGAGGCTGCCAGAGCTCCAAGAGAGTTTGGACAACACTCTCAAGGACAGTGTGGGATTTTGGGGGTGTCTGTGCAGGGCCAGGGGTTGGACTCAATGATCCCTTCCAGCTCAGGATGTTCTGTGATTTTAGGATGACTGAAACCCTGCTCCCTCCCTCCCCATCCCTGTAGGTGGTGAGCCGGTCTCTCCTGCTCTGCTTGACTCACAAATCCCTACTTTCTAAGCTTCCTACATAAAGGACATGTTTTCCCTTAAAAACGCAATGAAGGGAGTTGGTTTGCCCTAGAAATGCAACCAATGGAAATGTTTTCCCCTTAGAATTCAACCAAGGGACATGTTTTTCCCTAAAAAAAAATGCAACAAAGTGAGATTTTTTTTCCCTAAAAATGCAACAAAAGGGCATATTTTTCCCTAGAAGTCCAGCTAAAGGAGATTATTTCCCCACAAAATATACAGCCAAGGGAGATGTTTTCCCCAAAAATACAACTGACAGAGACAATTCTCCCTAAAAATTTAACTGAGGGAAATGTTTTTCCTAGGAATACAACTAAAGGAGATGTTTTCCGCAAAAATACAACTAAAGGATGGGGTTTTTTTTGGGTTTAGGGTTTAAAAAAAAAATGAAAATAATGAAACCAATGGAGATTTTTTTCCCCTAAAATTGCAACAAAAGGAAATGGTTTTCCCTAAAGATACAACTAAAGGAGGTGGTTCCCCCTAAAAATACAACCAAGAGCAATGTTTTTCCCCAGAAATGCAACTAAAGGAGACGTTTTGTCCTGAAAAATACAAGTCAGAGGCATATTTCCTCTAACACCGCATCATGCGCAGCACCCAAAGCTCGGAGGGGACAAACAGACTTTGCCACCCCCAGATCCAGCACCGAGGAGGGCTCTGGTGTGTGCTCCCCGCATCCCACCCGCATCCCCTGCGAGCCCAGCCCGGGGATGCTCCATCACCGCATCCCGGGGATGCTCCAGACCCCGCATCCCGGGGATGCTCCATCACCGCATCCCGGGGATGCCCCGGACCCCGCATCCCGGGGATGCTCCAGCACCGCATCCCGGGGATGCCCCGGACCCCGCATCCCGGGGATGCTCCATCACCGCATCCCGGGGATGCTCCAGACCCCGCATCCCGGGGATGCTCCAGCACCGCATCCCGGGGATGCTCCAGACCCCGCATCCCGGGGATGCTCCAGCACCGCATCCCGGGGACGCTCCGGACCCCGCTCCGGTGGGGGCGGCCCGGCACCTGCCGGAGCAGCCGGTGCGGGGCAGGTTGATCCCGGGGGCTGCGGGAACCCGCGGGGCCGCCCCGCTCCGGCCGCTGCACCGCCCCTCCCGCACACGCGGTGCCGCCGCTGGGCGAGCCGGGCCCGGCGCCGCGCACATGGGCGCTGCGGAGCCGCCGGCGGAGACCGGCTCCAGCCGGTATAAAAGGGCTGCGAGCGAGCACCGAGCAGCAGCAGCCGCCGCCGCGGGCAGCGGGAGCAGCAGCGGCCGGAGGCCGGCGGGCAGCGGGGCCGCCTCCTCGCCGAGGGTCGCCCGCTCGCCCTCCCGGGCCATGGGCAGCCCCTGACCCCGCCGCAGCACCGGGTGAGTGGGGCTCCCGCCCGGGGATTCCGGGGGAGCCGGGTGGGGGAGGGCTTTGTTTCCCTTTTTTAATTTTTTTCTCCTCTTTTGGGGCGCTTTTTAACATTATTTTTTCATTTTTCCAGCGTTTTCCTTCCCCACCTCCCCTCGCCTGCATCCCTGTATTTTTAGCCCGCGGCCCCGGCGATGCAGGAATCAGGGCTGAAATGTTGGGAAAGTGATGCAGGGAAGGGGGGGCCACGCCGGGCCCCTGCGCTCCGGCTTCTTCATTTTCAATTTATTTCCCCGCCATCATTATTCCTTTTAATCTTTAAATGTACAAAACATACGCCCGGGTTTGCGGTTTCGCTGGGTTGTTTTTTCTTTCCTTATTATTTTTTTTTTTCACTGTTCCCTAAGCGTGCTTCCTCCTGATGTGCTTTCCCTCCGCTATTCCCCGTGCAGCGACACAGGAATTCACGGCAGCCCCGTCCCCTCTCTCGGGGGGTCTCCAGGCACTTCCCACAAACTTCGGGGGTCCCGCCCGTGCCCCTCGCCCTGCGCGGCTGCAGCAGAGCCGGGCGCGGGCGGCACCGCAGGGATGCAGGAGCCCACGCCTCGCTCCATCCCTGCCCGAGAGGATCCCCCGGGAGCCCCGCACCCGCCATGCGGCACCGCAGGAGGGGCTGCGGGGCGTGGGGACCCCCCTGCCCGGCTCGGGGACCCCCGGCGTGGGCTCGCAGCCCGGCCGGGCCGCCGCGGGGCCGGTGCCGCGCACTCGCCTGCTCCGCCGTGCCGAGTTCCCCGGTGGGCTGGGGCCGGGCGGGCTCCCCGCGGCCGGAACGTGCTGCCGAGGAGCCGAGTCTAAAATGGAGGAGGGAAATGCCTGGTGGCTGCCGGGGCCGGCTGCGGGGGGAGCCGCAGGTCCGGGCGGGACGGGGCGGCGCACGGGGCCGCTGCTCCCGGCGGCCGCTCGGTGCCCTCCGGGCTGACCCCGCGGGGAGCTGACCCCGCCACTGCCGCCCCCCGCGCGGGTGTGGCGGTGACCCCGGCACTGTCCCCACCCAGCGCACGTGCGGCGGTGACCCCGGCGCTGTCGCCCGCACAGGTGTGCCGGTGGCCGTGGCACAGCGGAGCCCCCCGCAGGTGTGGCAGTGAGCCCAGCACAGACGGCCGGCGCAGGTGATCCTGTCACCGTCCCCCCGCGCAGGTGCGGTGCTGCAGTGGCCTCGGCTCGGTGCTCCCCCCGTGCGGGTGTGACGGTGACCCCGGCACTGTCCCACCCGCACAGGTGTGGTGCGGACCCCGTGCGGGTGTGGCTGTGAGCCCAGGACTGTAACCCCGGCACTGTCCCCCCCGTGCGGGTGTGGCTGTGAGCCCAGCACAGAGTCCCCCCCCCGAACACCGGCGCTGTCCCCCCAGGGCAGCCGTGGCAGTGCTGGGGTTCCATGGGAGCTCCGTGTGGGACTAAAGGCACCCCCGCACACC